TACCAAGAGGGAGTTCAAAGGCGTTTGCCTATATTTCCCTTAATAAACTTGAATTGACTTAACATGTTCCTCATGGGCCGGAATTTGGCACAGACTCTCAGACTCGCCAGGTCCGGGTGGCGTACCTGCAAAGCTGTTGAAAGAGCTAGCCGTGGAGTTGACAGAACCCCTGTACTTATTCTTCCGGGCCTCCCTTAATACTGGCCAATTGCCACACGATTGGAAGACAACGTGGATCTTACCCATTCACAAAAGTGGGAATCGGGCGTCCGCGAACAACTACAGGCCGATAAGCCTTCCTTCCATATGCTGCAAGATTATGGAGCGAATTGTCAAAAGAGAGTTGATGCAATTCTTAGAGCGTCATTGACTTATTTTTAACAAACAGCACGGATTCCGTAGAGGACGGTCCTGCTTGAAAAATTCGCCCTACTGTCTAGAACAATGGACCAGAGCACTCAATCAAGGAAATACGTTGCACGCAGTCTTCGAAGACTTCAAGAAGACATTTCACACTGTGCCTCGTCAAAGTCTCCTATACAAGCTCAGACGTATAAGGGTAAGAGGCAACCTTTTCCGGTGGGCCGAAAAATTTCTGACCGGTCGAACTCAGACCGTATGTCTTGATGATCAGCGGTCGACGGAGGTGGCGGTTGATAATGGGGTTCCCCAGGGTTCCGTTCTGGGCCCTATCCTCTGCCTTATATATATCAACGACTGCATAAACAGATAAGACTGCGAAACCATGATGGTTGCCGACGATTCAAAACTCTGGAAGGTTATCCACAACGAAGGTGATGAAGAAAATCTGCAGGTAAATTGGCGCCGACTCGGGCAATGGTCAAACGAGTGGCTCCTGCCATTCAATGTCGCCAAATGCAACATAATGCGCTTCGGTAGTACCAACACTTCGTATCGGAGGATGTACCCCCTAAATCGTATGCCGCTGCCAAATATAGAGACCCAGAAGGATCTAGGGGTGTGGATCACGCCTTCATTAAAACTATCACTCCATTGCTTGAAGGTGGCCAAATCTGCAATGTCCACCTTGTATCTCATTAAGCACGCCTTTGCTAATTTCGACTAAATATGCTTTGGTAAGTTCTTTGGGACGTTTGTACGACCGCAATTGGAGTTTGCCGTACAAGCCTGGAAACCTCGGACAGTCAAAGACCGAAAAACCCTTGAAAAGGTACGACGCGCAACTAAGTTGGCGCGAAGCCAAGCGTACCTTCCTTATGAGACACGACTGACTAATTTTGACTTATTTCCTGTGGATTAAAGATAGCTACGCAGTGACCTAATACAGGCATTGCGCATGCTGCGGGATCAGGATTGTTGCCTAGCTGGCCACTACCACTAGCTTGCGCAGACACCCTCTCAATCTATGTGTGATTAGGGCGAGATTGGACACACGAAAATTATTCTCCTGTAAGAGGGCAATTCAGATCTGGAATGCTCTGTCCGCGGACATTT